TCCGGGGGCCCAATTTTCGGAGTTTGCCTCGGGCCCCGAAGATCACAGGACCGGCACTGAATATAGCCACACCTTTATAGCCATCATAGAGGTATGGATTTCCTTCATAACCTTCCTGGCAATGACAACGATACCCATAACCATTATCGGGTGCAGAACAATAGGAATTCTTACTTTTACATGCATAACTAGAAATGTTATGTCGAGCCTCATTACAAGTTCCTTCTCCAACTGCACAGTAGAAGTACAACTCATTAGTCATTACTTAAATTTTGATAAATATGTAGTTGAATATTTGATAAAAATTATGAATTCATGAAAATTTGATAAAAATCGATTCCGCTACAGTAAACCAGTGTATAACACCGTATTTTTCGAACACGGTAAAATGAACAATTCATGCCGTTTGCTCCTTTTTCCGGTCGAGATGAGGGAGTGCGGGACTTCGAACTTCAATTTCTTTGGTACCCAAGGGTTTTCTTCGATCGACCAAATTGAAACTGAAAATGAAAGGTGGCTGCGAGACTTCGCCGGAATCGTGAATGGCGTTTCGACTGGCTTCTTACTCCGGTCAAGATGAACGAGGTGCTGGAGTTCGAACTTCGATTTCGCCTCCAAGGTTTCGATTTCGCCTCCACAGCTGCTCTCTAGTTTGAGAGAAAATGATTGGCTTGTTTAGTTGCGCTGGGCCGGTTCAAGTTTTAGACCATTTTTTATTTTTTTATTTTGAGTTCCCTTATGCCACGTCACGGTGTCAAGGAGTAGGTAAAGTGGCACGTACCCATAGCGTGGTCGCTTTAAGTAATCGCTCTGTCGGTGCGCATTGGAGCCAAGCAAAGGCAAAGGAGGGTGAGATAGTGCTGAAAGTCAGAGCTCGAGCTATTTCTATATCATAAGGTTTTATGTTTAGCCACACTTGGAACATTGCTGAAAAGAGTAATAAACTTAAAAGGAGGTGTTACACACACACACATATATATCCCATGTCAAAGTTACCATTCACAACGTAAGTCTAACTTATTTTTTATTCACCACAATAACCTTTTTCAAAATGTAAAAGACGAAGATATCATTAAAATGGCACAGAAGCCCAAGCCACCATTAGGACCTAGATGCCAGAACCATTGTTTGGACATCTGGGCTCGAACGCATGGTCATCTGGTTTTTCAGACAGCCATGAGCACGGCAGAAGTCGCCATTTTCGAAGAATTCTATCCCAAAAAATCACCAAATCATCCCTAGCATCGATTCTAACAATATATCTATCTTAAATCATACATTAAAAGCATAAATTCATAGATTTTATCAAGATTGAATGTAATAATCAAATAACACATTTGTAAAATTATAAAAATTTAAACAATAAAATCTAAAAACTAACCTCAATTAAATGTGTAGAATATGATGGAGACGATGATTGTGAATAGTGTTGAAGTTGATTTCTTCAGTAAGATTTTTTCCCCTTTTTTCTGAATTATTCCCTCTTTTTTCCTTCATTTGAAATGGAAAGCATTTGAGAGCTTGGTTTTTTAATCTAGTCAAAGGTTATCGTAGAAATTGGGCTGGATCAACTCGTCATTGACTACCATTTCCTATTAACTCCATCCACCTAGATCTTTGTAGAACGGTGACAATGTCCACAATTACAGAACCTACGGGCCCACGGACTTCATCGCGTCTCCTCCATATTTAACCAGACTATCGGAATTTCTGAATAAAGTGTGATGCTTCGAATAAAATCTTGACCCAAGATTGCGCCATGGTGGATTGAGTA